AGATGTTGATGATAGTGATAGCCAACAATTCACTGTAAATTCTTCAATTCAAGAATTCTTTTAGTTTTGGATAATTTTGTGTTTCCGTACTATTAGTCACTGATTGAATGCAACTCCTCTTGTTGTTAATCGGTATCACAAGTTGGAAGAAATTTTGCATGGTTCACTATAAAACATAGAATGTCCGAAATGAAGCAATTCCTACCTTTGATTCATGTTGACCTGCTTCTATGTCCACTGATATTTTGCCATAATGGCCCTCCCTCTTGTTTACACCGTAAACTCAAGTTACATTTTTCTATTGATTGATTTGACAGCCAGAAGAGTTGGATGAAATCCAACGAATGAGGAACACTCCCGACTTCTTCAACAAGCTTGTCGACAGCATTGCACCAACTGTTTTCGGTCACCAAGATATCAAACGTGCCATTATTCTCATGCTGATGGGTGGTGTCCATAAATTTACACACGAAGGCATCAATTTAAGGGGAGACATCAATGTTTGTATTGTGGGAGATCCTAGTTGTGCAAAGTCCCAGTTTCTCAAGTATGTGAATTGTTCAGACTGATAGAGCCCCAACGCGTGTTCTATTAACATGCCAAGTCTTACCATTACAGTTGTCTTGCAGGTATACATCAGGCCTAGTTCCAAGATCTGTCTATACATCAGGAAAATCCTCATCAGCTGCTGGGCTCACTGCAACTGTTGCCAAAGAACCAGAGACTGGTGAATTTTGCATTGAGGTAATGTTTCAATTTTATTTTCTTTTGGAGATTTTGGGTTCTTTTGGGTTGGCTTGTTCATCTGACAATGGCTTGTTCTTTTAAGTTCCACTGTACAAGTTTTTGTTTATATCTCTCAGGCTGGTGCACTGATGCTTGCTGACAATGGCATCTGTTGTATTGATGAATTTGACAAGATGGATCCAAGAGATCAGGTAATTCCAACTTTGCAACAATATAACTACCCTCACCACCCACCCATCCACTTGCTAAAGGTGACCAAATTTCACGACTTATGTTTGGATTTGCATGTATTTGAAGGTTGCCATTCATGAAGCTATGGAACAGCAAACAATAAGCATAACAAAAGCTGGAATACAGGCGACACTGAATGCTCGAACATCGATATTAGCTGCTGCAAATCCTACAGGAGGGCGCTATGACAAGACTAAACCCTTGAAAGTGAGCACATTACCATTTGTCTAATGAAATTTGAAAGTCTTATTTAGTAGACTGCTTGTAATTTTCCATGTTCATAACTGGTTTTGTTATTGTATGTTTCTACAGTACAATGTAGCCCTTCCTCCAGCCATCCTCTCAAGGTTTGACCTCGTGTATGTGATGATTGACGACCCGGATGATCAAACTGATTACCATATAGCTCATCATATCGTGAGGGTCCACCAAAAGCATGAAGAGGCGCTTTCTCCTACATTTTCAACTGCACAAGTCAAGCGCTACATATCATATGCAAAGACTCTGAAACCAAAGGTTTTATAATAGCCCCCCCTGGAAATGCTAATTCTGATAGTATAATATATGTGTAAAATGGTTTGTTGCTTGAACGAATTTCATTTGCTATGTGCTTAGCTGGATCCTGAAGCAAGAAAGCTGTTGGTGGAATCTTATGTTACTTTAAGAAGAGGGGACATGACCCCAGGTAGTCGAGTTGCTTATCGTATGACCGTAAGGCAACTTGAGGCCCTCATCCGGCTATCGGAAGCCCTTGCTCGGTGCCATTTAGATACTGAGGTGTGCTTATTGTTTTTCTTCTCTCTCTCTCTCTTTTCCTTTCCTTTTTGGCATCAAGTCATTTATTCGATATGGATGGAATAGGTTCAACCTCGATACGTACGCCTTGCAGTGAAATTACTCAAGACATCAATAATCAAGTAAGAAAGGCTTGAACATTGTGACGCCCTTTACTTATAACAAGTCTTTTCGATAAAAATCGCACTGGTTATGATTACTTTCATTGCCTTACAGTGTGGAGTCGAGTGAGATTGATTTATCTGAGTTCCAAGAAGAGAATAATGAAGAGGGTGGTGATGGTAACACCGGCAATGGAGATGATGATGCTTCAGGTCATATGGAGACAGACTTGAATGGGGCAGCATCTCAGCCGGCTTCTGAAAACAAAGGTTGGTAGTTTTGCACTCAAACCATGCATATTTGTTTTTAGCTCCTTTATCATGTAAAACAACCTTAAATGTATCCTCGTTATGCAGAAAATGCAGATAATAACAAGTCAAGAAAGAAGCTAGTGATAAGTGATGAGTACTATCAGAGGGTTACTCGAGCCCTTGTCATGCGGCTCAGACAACACGAAGACTCTTTAGTGCATGGAGGTGATGAGCGTGCCAAATTTTAAATTACTTGAATCCTTAAATTAACGATATTTGATAAACGACGAACAAACAAAAATAAATAAGAAACGGTCAAAAAGAACCTTCTGAAACTTTAAGAACTAAAATTCTGAAATAGAAACTTTAAGAACTATAATTCTGAAACTAAGAACACTGTTGATTGAAATGAAAGACTAAAAAACTGATTTTGTTTATCTGTTTGATGGAAATTTTACCATTAGGCGATTTGGAATTAGTTTTTTATGTATGTTCTCTACTTACCCCTATTGTTAAAATAGTTGCAAACTATGATTTGTGCAGGTACAGGACTGGCTGGCCTAAGGCAGAGGGAATTGATCCAGTGGTACGTCGAACAACAGAACGAGAAAAACAATTATAGTTCAACGGATGAGGCCGCAGCCGAAGTCACCAAACTGAAAGCCATTATTGAGGTAAAAGCTGCCACAAATATTTCGGCACTCAATATGCCTAAAACAATTCGAGTCATTTTATCTTTGCTTCGCAATGCACGTTTAAGTCATTTTTCGCTTCATTTGTTGTTGATGCGTGTTTTGCAGAGCTTAATACAAAAGGAAGGCTATCTAATAGTTGTGGATGATGGTAGAGAAGATGGTGGAGATGGCGAAAATGCTAGGCCCCCATCAAGAACCGAACGGATTTTAGCTGTGGCGCCAAATTATGTCCCAGATTCATAGAGAATTATGCGAAATTTGTGTTCTTTTTATCTTTATTTATTGATGGCGAGTGATCAAATGTGTTTGCCATGCACACTGTATTTTACTGAAAGCATTTGTGATTGGTTGTGTTTAAGGAGGCTTCTGCTAAAAACTGGGGAAGTTATTCAAACAGTTTGTATTTTTTCCCTTATTGTTTAACTAGCAACCAATCACCCTCCTAGTGTTTGTGTGTGTGTGNAGGAGGTTGTATTGGCTATTTAACTTTTGGAATTGGTTATATTCCATCATTTAGGAGGTCCATATAGTACTTTTTTATTTCAACTTTTATAATTGTTTGATACAATAATATTAGCTGGGGTCTAGTATTTTAATTATTTCATTAAAGATAAAAACCGCATTTAATCTTGATCAACAAACAATGAAATTGCCAAAAGCAACAGTGATACATTAGAAAGGTCGATTCACTACATTAAAATTGAATATTCTAGTTTTTCCTCATTTATCACATGGTGCAGTATCATCTTATCTACCCATAATTGGTATAATGGAATGAAATTTCGTAGCAATAGAATGAATTAAGGAATGAAATGATTATGAGAATGTAATGAAACAAGTTTTGGCATTGATGCGTTTGATATGCAGAAGGAATAAGAATTGAATGAAAGGACATTATCATTTTTTATTATAAAAATAAATAAAAGCTTTTTTTTAAAAAATAATATTTGTAATAAATTATATATAAATGCTTTATTAATAATATATAAAAATAAAATATATATTTTTTAATAATATAAAAAATAATATATTTTTAAAATATATTTTTAATATTTTTCAATAATATATTTTTAAAAGTAATATATTTTTAATATATAAAGAATAATATATTTTTAATAATATATAAAAATAAATAATATATTTTTAAATTATATATAAATGCTTTTTTTAGTTTTATTTTTATATAAATATTATGTTTTTTTTGTAAGGGAATGATCATTCCATTCTCATGTCATTCATTCCTACCAATCATGCCATAAACATAATATTTCTGATTCCACAAACCACAATGTAAAGAGAATGTTTTTTTTATCAATATTCATTCTGTAGAGTTTTTCCAATCTAGTGTGTGTCCTTGGTAATCTTATACATCAAATTTTTACGCTTTCTAATTTTGTTTGATAATTTATCATGCTCTGAATAATTGATATAGATATGTACTTCTATTCATAATTATTAGGACTTTTTAAATTATAAGTTGATTGAATAACTTAAAATATAAATATAATTTATATAAGTCAATAATTATTGTATTTATTATTAGATTTCATACATAATATATCAAATTAATTTTTTTATTAACATTTTATATCCAAATTGCATATATGAATTTATATGTTTCACCTTCGTAATAAATTTATATTATCTGATCATATTAATTTCAAAATACTAAATCATTTATCAATTATATAAAATTTATATATCGAGTTCATTATACAATATGAGTTAAAAAAATTATTATAATATAGAAGAGGTAAGTCAAACAAGTGTGGTATTATTTTAAATATGCACTCTCTCATATTTTTAATAAATGTCGTTTTGAGAAGTTGCACAATAATTAATAATATATTTTTTTGTCAATAATAACCCTCATTAATGAAGAAAGAGATGAATATTTTGAGAAAAGATGAAGAGTGAATATGAAAAGACGTAGTGTAATTATTACTTAAATGAAGGTAATAATGAAAAAATATGTAAAAAAATACAAAACGTCATTTATTTGGTTAATGTTTGATAAAACTAAAATGATATTTAAAAAATAGGAGGTAGAATTTTTTTAATAAATATTTTGAACTTAAAATAAAATTATGATATAAAATTATGTACGCATTTTTTATTTTAAAATTATGATGGATCTGATTTGCTTAACCCAATTTCACACGATTTAATTTATTGGTATGAAGGTAATACATAGACAGAGAGTGGTACCAAAAACTGCACTTGAACTTGATGAAACTATTATTCAGGAGTAAAAACGTTATAAAAACTGTATAAATTCATAGAAGAAGATTGTGAGGCTGAGTATGGCGGAGGACAGTGGCTCGGGTGGTGGCTCAGCCGCAGCCACCGTAAAATCGATATTTGTTTACCCAATTAAATCATGCCGCGGTATCTCCCTTCCTCAAGCGCCCATATCTCCCACAGGTATGTATCCATCGTCCCAAATAATTCAACCTTAAAATTCGCGTATTTTCTCTTTCGAAGCTCGAAATTATCCTTCCAATTAGGGCTTGCACCTTCCTCTTCTTCTTCCTCTGTAACTGGCTGTGCGTGTGTAGGGTTCCGGTGGGACCGGCAATGGCTGGTGGTGAACTCCAAAGGCCGAGCTGTTACTCAAAGAGTCGAGCCGAAGCTCGCTCTTGTTCAAGTTCAGTTGCCGGATGAAGCCTTTCATCCCGATTGGGAGCCAAATAAACATTCATTCTTAGGTAGTTATGATAATCAACCTGAATTTTAAGTGCTTTTTTTTTTTTTTCCTTTTTCCGGTGTTTCAACATTAAGGGTGAAGAACAAGGAGATTTAGGATTTAGTTGCCGGCAGTTTGTTAAGGTTTAGAATGCTTACATTCCAGTTTAATTTACTATTAGTTTGCATCTGTTCTTAGTGATAAGTGCTCCTGGGATGGATGTGCTGAGGGTGCCATTGGCCAAGCCTGCTGAGAAAATCGATGGGGTCTCTGTGTGGGAATGGTCTGGTTCGGCAGTCGATGAAGGACCTGCTGCTGCACAGTGGTTCTCGAATTTTCTCGGGAAGCCCAGCAGGCTCGTTCGGTTCAATGACGGTATTGTACTATGTTCATTCTTCTGTATAATGTATACATACTGAAGTGTTGTTTGTTTGCATCTCCGTGTAGAAAAATGTCTGTTTATCTTGTTTAAATTAAGACGTTCGTTTAGAAAACCCCATTTCTGTGTGTCGTTTTTGTTTTCCTTGCCGTTGTGTGTATGATGTGATCTGAGAAGAATGTACCCTATAGAACTCTAATGTTTCATACCGAGTCATGGATAGGTAAGTGTTTCAATGTGCAAGCATCATTAACCTTTGTTTGGTTTGATTTCGTTTTTGATATGCAGCATTGGAAGTAAGGAATGTGGACCCTGCTTACGCACGTGGGTACAAAGTTATGTTTTCTGATGGGTACCCTTTCCTCTTGCTATCCCAGGTCTGTTTAAACCAACCGACAATTTTCCATGAGAGGAGAAGAAAAA